TGAAAATCCCAGTAGATCAGCAGTTTCTGAAATACTCAGACCAGCCCTTCTGGCACCAACAACCATGCCACKTTCAAAGGCACTCAAATCACCTTTCTTCCCCATACTGATGCTCGGTTTGAACTGCAGGAGCAGAGGTTTTGCAGAGTTCTGTTTCTTAAAGGGGCAATATCATGTAAAATCAACTTTTTTTTAGTTTTTATCATGTTATAATCTTAGACTCTCATAAAAATCATGCCCAAAGCCTTGCTGTGACTCATTCATGCATGTTTGAGAAATCCTGCAGCGTTTTTAGGAAGCCATGCTGAGGAGCAAAACGACAGGTGGGGACCAGAAACGTCTTTTGGTACCAGAAACGCCCCTGGGGCATGTCTTTAAGCCAAACTTCCTCATGGCAGAGAGCCCCCAACCCCACACACCCCACCCATGTCTCCTGTAGGCTCTCGGGTGAAAATGAAAGTGAAACTTAAACTGTCTGCTGAGCTCCACTACTTCTCACTCAGTGAAGCTTTTTCAGATTGAAAATACCTTTGAGGAAATGTATTTTCAGATGTCAAGTAAACTGCATCATAGCAGCTCCCCCCCGCCACCGAAAAGGGCGAGACAGAAGGGGAAGGTGGTTCTTAAAGAGACAGAGACCAATTTCAAGGCGTTTAGAAGAGGAAATGATGAAAAGATAAGTTTATTTTTTATTAAACCATAAAAGCATTGGTTACACATTGTAACCCCAGATTCTACGATTGTAAGCGCAGCCCTCTAAGGCTATCGCTGATGGGTATCCCTCACGCTTGCGCGCATTCTGAAGAACCAATAGTCCACACCCATGTACAATGTGCCCACCTCGGTCCGTATAAAAGCCGGTCGGACCGAAGATCTGCTCCCGATAGCTTACTTTTTCTTCAGCTACGGAAGCCGGTGAGGCCCCAATCCGTAGAGGGCTGCGCTTACACTCATAGAATCTGGGATTACAATGCGCAAAGTTCTATTTCGTGTAAGCTCCACCCTCTAAGGCTATCGCTGATGGGTATAGAGGCGGAGCCCAATGTAGTCTGCGCCTCACCGGCTTGACAGACTCGTGAAGCTTCCGCCCAAAACCCCTGTGATGTTTCTGCATAAGCGGGGGGCAGTGGCAACAGCTGATTCACACAGTGAACAGATTTGCATGAGCCCCCGTGCTCATCACATGATCCAGATGATGTGAAGAAGAGACTACGCACTGAATGTGCAGTATCATTTCAAGCACAGAAGACATTATTTTGTCCAATAATTTTAGACAAAATACACTACTCTGACAAAGTCCTGAAAACAGAGTGAGTCAGAGAAGAGCCCGAAACATCCCGTAGATAAAAGCGGATGAAGGGGCAAGGGGATGACCAGGAGGCTGCAAGCAGATATCCTGAATTGACATTCCACTGTACAGAGCAGTGGGGAAAGAGATCCCCCTTGTGGAATGAGCTGACAATACATCTGGAGGCTGCAGACCTGACGAGATGTCAGCCTGTGAACAGCCTCGCACGTCCAATGTGACAATCTCTGAGAAAACAGAGGTTGTCCTGCAGACTGCTCTCATTAATGAACAACAGACACTGAGAGTGTCTTATCTTTGCTGTGCGTGTCACATAGCATGAAAGCGCGCGCATGGGGTACAGCATATGAGAGACTGCATCCTCCTCAGAACTGTGAAGGGGAGGACAAAACCTGCTCAGAGTAATAACTCTGGAGCTGTAAGAGCTTATGATGTTCTTAAAAAACCGGGTTAGGACGCAAAATCACAGAGCCGCCGTCCTCCCGTATCCTGAGACAGGAAGGAGACACTGACAGAGCTGACAGCTCGACAACTCTTTTGCTGATGTTAGCATTAACAGCAGCGCTGATTTCTGTGACAGAACTTAAGAGAGAGATCTGATCCAAAGGCTCRAAAGGAGCTCCAGTCAGGGCGCATAACACTAGTGTAATCCCACTGTGGTACGAATGTGCGTGTGACAGGTCTGTGCCTTCGCATGTCCTATAGGAACCGTTTTACCAACAGGTGATTAAAAACCGTCCTGTCACTGAAACCCTCGTGACAGAAGGAAATTGCCGCAGCATACCTCTTAACGGTGCTGAAGGCTAAACCTCTGTCCATTAACATCTGTAGAAATGATAGGATGCAGGACAAGGGACACAAGACTGGGTCTGCATTTATTTTCATACACCAGCGCTGGAAGGACCATTTAGCTGTGTAGGATGAAAAACCGTGTAGGATGCGCACGTGTCCTGGATGGTGTGCACCACATCAGCAGATAAACCTAGGATTATTGAGCATTCCGCTCAGCGGCCAGGCCCACAGGGGCAGGTCCAGTACCAGGAAAAACTCCTGATCGCTCCTCCCGCCTGCAGAAGAGCGTCCTCCTGACAGGGCAGCTRAAGCGGAAGGTCTGACAGCGACGACTGGAGGGCTGGGAGCCAAAGCACTCCAGCGCTTCAGAACKATCAGAACAACCTGCCTCCGGTCCTCTCTGATCCGATCCAGCAGAGGTGGGATCAGAGTAACAGGTGGGAAAGCATAAGCAACATGTCCGGCCATGGACGGTGCGCAAACGTGCCCCCTCCCAGAGGTGGGTCGTCCCTCGAGCTCAGAGAGAACCAGAGTTGTATTGTGCGTTTTCTCTGCTGGCAAACAAGTCCACTTCCGCCCTGCCGAATCTGTCCCAGATTAGCATAGTTATGGTCATGTTGCAGGGTCCAGTCCCCATCCCCGGTTCAGCACACCCGGAATGTAGCTCGCTCGGATTGAGCAAGTGGGAAGTGGGTGTGTGCCCAGAGGAGAAGCACTCTGGCTGTGTTCATCAACTGCCGGGGGAGCCGGGAGCTACCCCCACCGGYGGCTGATGTAAGCCTCGGTCACTCTGTTGTCCGTGTGGACCAGAACATGCTGGTCCTAGACCAGATGAGTGAAAAGCGCCAGTACTTTTCACATCGTCATGAGCTCCAGAACATTTATGTGGAGAACAGGGTGGAAAGACCAGCGGTCTCCCACAGTCTGGGACAGGCATGTAC